ACTTGCTTAAATTTTTATCTCGCTCCTGTTTTTCTTACCTCCATCTCTCCTTTCTCTCTCTGTTTCTCTCAGCTGTGCCTGAATTTGTATAGAAGACTTGTATATCATGACATAGTATGCATATTGTTGATTATCCTTTATTCTTCCTTCCCCATTTACATAGGCTACTGTTTGTAATTATAGTAATGTTCATTTGAATGATTTGTGCCTTGGCTGATTCAATACAAGACAATTAAGACTTTGCTTTTTAGCTGTTACAATTCCAATGACACAGTAAGGAAATTGGGTGTTTCCATCTCTTTTTCTAATTGTGTCTCTTGCTATAGGTGCATGTTCAAGAATGCATGAAAGAAAGAACACAAACTGTAAACATTATTGTTAGATCTATATAGTATTTATTTTTAAAATATTTTTGTTTGAACTATTTATCCACTGTGCGAATGTTGCGGAACCACTATTATTGATAGCTTTTTGCCACCTATATAGTGGGAATCTCCACTTTTTAAAGTGTAATTTACCCACTTATGGAGTGAGCTATATGATGACTTTTGAACACACCTTTTTTGGTGTGAACAACCCACCATTATTTTTGCAGTGTAATCTACTACATTGTATCCTGTACAAGTTGATTTGTCTTCAAGGAAATTTAATGCTAGATGATCTACTTCTTTGATCATTTTGTCTCCCTCTCTCTTCTTTTCCTCAGATTACATGCTTGGAATCTATAAGATATACTCCTATACATTGATATGGGTTTCTTGATGAATGCACTGCCTCAGCCTGAAGTGTGATCGAATTTAGCATACCTTAGTATTGAGCAAAAAGAAAAGGTTTGAATTAGGGACATAAATACAAGAGAAACACGAGACACCAAAGGTGCGTGGCCTCGCCCCTAAAGCTGCTTGGGATGTGTTATCCTTAGCTAGCCTAAGCCAGTACATTTAAATGATATAGATCAAAAGTGCTGACAGCCTGAACTAAGCAAGTGTGAAAAGTATGATGGGACTCTAGAATCCCAAAAATTGGTAAAACGTGTTCATAAATTCCCATTAGCATCTCAAGATTTATCACTTATTTATACAGTATATTTATACTTATTGCACTCTCAGTTTAAAAACATCATGGGTTTCATAACCAGCTATTGTTGTGGCCACAATCTATCAAAAACATGCTATGCAAAAATTAGAAATTGTGCTTTTGAGGCCAAGGGATTATCATAACAGCTAGCTTCCTAGCTGCAGTTACACTAGCTCTTGCATGCTTACAGAACTGGCAAGCTGCAGGGCCAACTCCCAGCTTGGTCCTGCTTGGAGGCGTGGCATTAATGCAGCAAGACCATATGAGAGGGAAGCTTCACGTTTTTTCTCTTCTTCTAAGCGCTATATGATGTTATAATGGCACAAATACTGTTGCCTAGATAGATTGAGTGACTTAAGAGAGTTTAGGATCCTTAGACTAGCCATGGACTAGCGAACTACTGCTACAGCACTTTACTCGGGTTGAAATTCGAGTAGCTATAACTCACCAAAAAGGAAGATTTAAAGAGTCCCACACATATTAAATAAATAAATAGTCTTGATCTACTGGGGAAGAGTCTCATTTACATCCAGAGTACTACCACTATTGCTGGGCATTTTCTCGTGAGTTAAAAAGCTTGTACTACCTAGAGCTGTTCTCGAAATATCTCGAAGCAGTAAAGCAAGACTTTTCCTAACAGAAGAGAAGCTCTCACAGGTTTAGAGCACGCGATTGTAAAGATATACATTTGCAAAGACAAAATCTAGCACACAGAATGAATGTATGACAGACAGACAAACCGAGTACCTAGTCCTCGCCTACGCAAAGCTGGGCGAGGCCAAAAATACAATTTTTTGTGATTAATACATTACATTGTTTATAGGATTGTTGAATTTCTACTCATTGGAGAAGCACATTAAACTATCACCCAGAACAAGAATGTGAACTGTAACCTTTTAAATTAAGGTCATTAGTTTTTAATTTTAAGTTTTTTGATAGATGAAGAAAGTTACTGCTCTATAGCGGGGTTTTTAAGGATGACAAATTTTGCAAATTTTGCAGATTTTTGAAGATTTGCAAAATTAAATTCTTCAAAAATCAGTTTAATATAGTATAAGATTGCAGAATAGTTGACATTCTCAAATAATAATTTCGGATGCAGGTCATTCTCGAAAATTATTGTCCTTGAAAATTGCCCACTATGGTACTTGCACCAATCCATGACCAATCCAATCAATCAAAAACCACACCATGCAACAAACACTTCAAGCATACCGAATGAATCAAGCAACTCAAATGAGCTATTATTAATGGGGTTTTCATCATCAGTGAGACAGGCCCTTGTAATGTGTGGAGAGAAGACAGAGAGAGTTATTCACTTATCTGGGGGGAACTGATTGATGAAGAGGAAAAGGAGGAGAGGAGGGACTGGACTGGAGGAAGGTGGTTCAGGAAAAGGAAGAGAAACCAGTTTAAGTATTATCAGGCCCGTAGCCAGGGTTACAAAAAGGGGGGTGACAAAATATTAGTTACATAAAATGGGGGTGACAAAGTATGAGTTGCATGAAATGGGGGGTGACAAGTTGGACTGGATGCACATGAAATGCCACAAATACATGTTTGATTTAAGCAAACAAACAAAGGTACTAACTCAAAAGGGGGGTGACATGTCACCCCAATCACCCCCCCTGGCTACGGGCCTGATTATGTATTTGATATGATGGTATTTGTTTTTTGTTTTTTATAGTTCTTTTAGGAGACAGGATTTCACAAGGAGCTAGAGCTACTGTGTTACTCCATTACAGTATTGAGGTATAGGATAATACTTAAAATTTCATTATGCATGCATGTACATGTACATTTAATGATAAATGCATACACACATACATATGTATGTATTATGTACACATATAATTATACAAACTATATGTATACTAATGTGTATGTATTATACACATATGACATGTGACCATCTAAGTGCATGGCTTTGTATCAAAAATTCCTGATAGTCTATTTGACCTTGACAACTGACATTGTCACTTCAATATTATTTTTTACTGCTTGTTTTATATAGCCATTTAATTCTAAAATTCTAACATGCTACTTTTGTTTTGTCTAATACTTTAAGTAGAAAGAAAATCACAGACAGTCTTAACTTCTTTGCCAGTCACATGATAGCGAGCTTTTGCTTGTATCTCTGTACCACTGAAATCCATTGTGATATCAACTTTACGCTGCCTTAAAGGCAAGTTGTCAGGATTAGGAACATCAAGGACAAGTTCACCAATTATAGTAACAATTAGTTTCTTATTCTCATCTTTGATATACTGAATTCCAAGCTGAGGTGTTGAATAGATTCGGATGTACATTATTGTTTTATCCTCACGAGATGGAGTTAAGGTTGTAGTGACAACTTCATCAGCTTTAGCTAATTCCCCTTTCTCTAGAAATATTCTGAAGATGTGATTACATCGGTCTTTTTTATGGTCTTCACTGTAATACTTATGAGCTTCATCGTGTTTTTTAGGATCAAATGTAGTTGCACTTCCTATTCCATAAGTTGCATCAACTCGTCTTGCTTTGAATTTCTCAGGATTCTTACGCCACATAACAGCTCCAGTGGCAACAGCTAAATGAGGAGTAGGAGGTACTAATACAGAGCATGTGTCAGTGTGACCTTTAGACTGATAGTACCTCTTTATAGCAGGACTGACCTTTTCATGAACGTATTTGCACCCTCCAAAAGCACCGGCCAGGTAAAATGTGTTGGGGCAGTTGTCAATTTTGTCAATAGCTGATAGTGTGCAATCAATAATGCCTTGGATAACTGGACCAAACAGCTTAGACTCTGTAACACTTTTATTGATGTAAAGAGTATCGTCCTCATATTCTACACCACTCATTTTTTTCACTCCTTCAGCAAGAGCTTCCTCATAGAATTTGACAGAGTTAATTGGAAGTTCTACTGCAATTTCTTCCATTTTTCCTTGGCCAAAAAGCACCTTTTGCTTTTCAAATTCATTGTAGACAATTTTATTTAGTGTAGCTTGATTTTTTGTGTATTCTCCTGAAGCAATAAATTTTTCAAAGCCAGGATCATTAACAATTTTTTGAAGTAGTTTAGAGAACTCTTCATTGACCTGTGTACCACCCCATGCATTACCAATAGGTACATTCTGGACTACAATAGCTCCATCCACTTCAACGTGAGCAGTAATATCTATTGTACCTCCTCCAGCATCAATTACCAAATACTCTGTAGGATGACTAATAGCTGCTGCTGATGGCTGACCTTTGATCTGTTCTGCTACTGTTTCCTGGCTATAAAGAGCTGCTGCTTCAGGCTCTAATGCTAGTGACAGCTTGTCAGGATTAACTTCATCTGGTACTGGTAAAGGACTGCTTGATATAGGAGTAAACTCACTGATCCTTTTAGACTCTGTTAGGAGACCAGCCTATAATTATGCCAATGATAATGGAACAATTAAAATTTCATTATGCCTACCATATAAGCAGCTTCTCTCATCATCCTTTTTCCTCGTGCATCCCATATAGCAGGTACAGTAATGACCCAATCAAAATCTGTTGTCTTCAATGGTGTAGCACCACGACAGTGATGATCTATCAACAGGTCCTTCAAGTACTGCAGTATAAAGGCAATGACTTCAATCAGATAAAACTTCTCGCCAGAAAATGACTCAACTAGTGTTTGTCTGTCAACATTCTAAAAGTGATTATTGTGATAATTAATGTAGATCTTTAATTAATCTGGCTGCATATATGGCTTTTTAGTTATAACTTACTTTTTCTCTTTTTATAGTCGGTTTCAGTTGAGTTTGACCACTGACCCACCCTTATAACTTCTCTATTATTTATGCTAGCAATTTGAAACTTGGTATAGTTG